GAGAGAGAGAGAGGGGATAGGACTCGGGCCAAATAATCCTTCGAAGAGGGAGAAGGAGAGAGCTCGGGTTTGGAGAACGTGCAAGGAAGAGGGAGGGAACTCAGGCTGTGAGTGCGTCTATGGACTGTGGATCCCCTTGCAGTAATTTTTAAGCTCTCGTGGGGAAGGAGAGTGAGAGAGGCGTGCGTAAGGGTAAAGGGTAAAGTAAGGGATGAGAGAGATAAAGGGTAAAGTTAGGGTAGTTGTGTCTTTTTTTAAATTTTTAGGAGGGTTGGGGGTATTTGCTAGGAAACATTGTTTTCAAGAAAAAAGTGAGCGGAAAAGAGTAGTTGGGGGTAAGTTGGGGGCTATATGTAATTTTCCCTAAATTAGATGCAATCGTGGTTTGGACATTTGGACCTCTTTATTATGCAATCGACGTTGTGAATACAAGTGAGAATGTTGAGATTGATTTTGAAAAGAGATCGCTCTTGAATAAGTACGCACCAAGGTTTTTCTTTTGGACCCGGTTTCTATGCGGCCAAGCTGGCATATGTAGAAATGCAGGCCTCTTAATAAATCTATTTTTTGAGATAGATTTTAACTCAAGGGAAAAGTTCATTTTTTTTAGACGGAAATGCCCTTCCCATACACAAAAATCAATTTGGCCAGATTTGATGTTGACTTTTGGACTCCCGTATCACAACGTCAGAGCAAACCATCGTATTGCTGGACCCAATATACTATTGGACCGTACTTACACATTATCGGAGCCCTGTGACTCCAGAGTGTTCCACTGCCGGACCGCAGTGTTGGAGCCCTGTGATTCCAGAGTGTTCCACTGCCGAACCGCACTTACATAGTGCCAGAGCGATGTGATTCCAGAGTGTTCCATTGCCGGACTGCACTTACACAGTGCCGGAGCCCTGTAACTCTTGAGTGTCCCAATGCCGGACCGCATTTACATAGTGCTGGAGCACTTGATCCACTGCCAGACCGTACTTACATCGTGCCGGAGCCATGTGACTCCAGAGTGTTCAACTGCCAGAGCGCTATGACTCCAGAGTGTTCCATTGCTGGGGCGCTCTGATTCCAGAAATTCTTTCTTCTAGACTGCTCTCATAGATTGCCGGACCCTTTTCTCTCTCTTTGTCCCTCAACTTTTTTTTTTGCTTTTAGGTGGTGTTACATGTTAGCTAATAAGGAGAGTTGGAGTTAGGTGTTGCTTTTAGGTGGTGGTGACACTGTTTTTAAGTGGCAAATGGATTTGATGGCTAAATTCATTTCCCATAGAGAGAGATCGGTCACCAGATTCAAGGAGACAGTAGAAGAGAGAGAGAGGATAGGACTTGGGCCAAAAAATCCTTCGAAGAGGGAGAGGGGGAGAGCTCAGGCCAAGAAAGAGCGCAAGGAAGAGGGAGGGAGCTCGAGCCATGAGTGCGTTTGTGGACTGTGGGTCCCCTTGCAGTAATTTTTTAGGTCTCGTGGGGAAGGAGAGTGAGAGAGGCATGGGCAAAGGGTAAAGTAAGGGAGGAGAGAGATAAAGGGTACTGTTAGCGTAGTTGTATCTTTTTTTAATTTTTAGGATGGTTGGGGGTATTTACTAGGGAACATTGTTTTCAGTAAAAAAGTGAGAGGAAAAGGCTAGTTGGGGGTTATATGTAATTTTCTTTAAATCATATGCAATCGGGGCTTGGACATTTGGATCTTTTTATGATGCAATCGATGTTGTGAATAAAAGTGAGAATTCTGATTTAATTTTACTAATCGTGTACAAAATTTTATGACATTTAGGACTGAGAAAACTCAAATATGTGTGAGAAGGTCCAACAATATGTGGGTGGGAAGGTATGTTACCAGTAAAATTAATACAAAAGAAATGCTTCTTCCAAATGATCCGAAAAGCAAAAATGTGTTTCCCATGTTGCATCCATATGCTATCTCATCATCATCATCATTATCATTCAAAATATTTTTCTATTTATGTGGGGTCTGCTATATGAATACTGGTATGTTATTTTGTTCTATCAAGGGCCATACGTTCAATGAGGTCATAAGTCACCATAGCAGATAAAATAGATTCAAGATTCATAAAAACTTGTAGCAAAATTTTATGTTAACTACCTACCTAACACAACTCACCCCTTTTACTTGGATTTGAGAAAGTCTAAGTCCTCACCCTTCTTCATTATATCCATATGCGATCTAAATCACAAAAAAAAAAAAAAAAGAAAAGAAAAAAAAAGAAAAAGGCAATCAAGTTAAATATTACCAAAAAAAAAAGAAGGAAATCTAGGTACATATCATGCTGGCTAGTTGGGACTGAGATCCCACCATCAGCTGCTTGCTTTTTGAAGTACTTTTAGCGTCATTTTGCGCGGGACTCCCCTCCATCTCACGTTTTCTTATCTGTTCAAACCATTTGAGCCGCCTCAAAATTTTGCCATTTGTAAGGTCACCATCTTCTAATACACCTCTCTCGCTCTCTCATATGTTTATTCCCTCGACGCTCTCTCTCTAACATGTTTAATCCATTGAACTCTCTCAATCCAGCACGTCTCTCCCTCTCTCCAGCACGTTTACCATTGAATTGTTTCCTCCACATGCTCCTTCCAACACATTGATCTCTTAAGAATCATTCTCTCTCTCTCTCTCGTTTCTTACACACAAGGCATATACATAATATTTCTATACGACAAACTAAATAAAAAATAATAATAATAATTTGAACAAAAGAAATTGACCCAAATACTTTTAAATTGTTTTAGACGTATTTTGATCCATTTCATTTGTTTAAATTATTTTTTATTACTTTTATTTTATGCACTATAGACAAATACATTTATTCTTATTTTTAAATAAAAATAAAAAAAAATACAAACTCTTTTTGAGTCATTAAACTATACAAAGTTCAATATAAAGTTATAAAACATTGAAGGTTGTTTGTGCCCCCTACAAGTCCACATCTTGTGGAAGTCATATCATCCTAATATAAAACTATAAAAAGAAAATGGTTTGGTAGGGCTGCAAGCATATCAAAATAAGTAAAACCACATCTCAAAATTCATCAAAAATTATAATTCACGAATTGGGAAACCTTTACAATGATCATCTCGGCTAGAACATTTTAGTTGTGAAAAAAATTAGGATTTTAAGATCTAAAAATAGTGTATACTGTAACAAATTTTTAGACCGTTTATTTCACCCTAAAATTAAGTGTTCATAGATCTGCAAGATCTGTTCCATTATTTGGGTTTCAAATATTATTAGTTGTGTTTCAAATTGATTTAGATCCATCATGGGCATTTCCTTTGTCCAAAGTGCTTTCCACTTATAGATTTGATGTGAGGCTTTGTTTTGTTTTCATAAATCCTAGGCCCTATAGAAACTTCATCCAATTATAAAACACAAAAACGCGCCTAATCTATCCCTCTCTATCTCTTTTTTGAACACCATGAGCCCTCTAATTCGAGGCCTAGCAACCTCACAATTCATCCTCCTGTACAGCTTCTACTCCACAAGCAAAGAAAAAAATAAAAATAAAAATAAAAAATCCTTTTTTTTGTATTAATGCTTTAAAACAACTATTCTCTCTCTCTTTTTTATTTATTTCTTCTAATGGACTTCTCATGTTCATCTTCAAAAGGCAACCTGCAAAAATATTTTCCCCACCTTCACCTTGTAAATGCTCCTGACCAATTCCCTGATGCTTCCATTATTCCCTCTCCTTTCCCTTTGTCTTCCATCTCCTCCTCTATTCTCCCATCTAACCCTTTCAAGAACAGATGCTCATTTCAAGAAAATGTTCTCAATCTAACAGTGGAATTGGCGTTGAAAGCTCAAAGACTGGTTCAAAGAGCTGGGTTCTCACAGGTTAGATGCCACAGTAAGGCATTAGCCTTCGCTAACATCGGCCAATTGCAGTCGGACACGAAACACATCTCGGATTTACCGGTATCGAAACATGAGGCACAGGGCGATGGCGAGGTTAAGGTGGTGGAGAAAGTTGGTGGGAGGGCCAGTTCATTTAGAGAGATGCCAAAGTTTCTCCTTGCTGGTGCTGTGTCGACTATAGTCTCAAGGTCATCTCTCTCTCTCTCTCTTACTCAAGTATGGTGGTGATTGGTGCTCCAAGTTCGAAGCAAACAATTTTAAGTTAATTTCAACATTTTGGGAAAGGGCCTCGGTCGTGGTGGCACCCCTACCTTGCATCTTAGTTACAGGTCGTGGTTTTCATTCCTACCGACACCACTCTAGTATCATATTCAAAAGGAATAATTCCTAAATTATTTGAAAAAATGGGCAAGTGGGTTTATCCTCACCACAAAATTACCTGAACAAAAAATGAAAAATCTAACATTTTGTAATGGTAGTACAAATTTAGAGAACTGGGAGTGTATCCATTACAAATTTAGGGAAATGGGAGTGTATCCATTACTCTATGTATCTGCCTATACACAGTCATTACAACCAAGCGAACCACCATTAATGAAGAGAGAAAGGCTACCAATCGGGTGGAACTGTTGATGAGGATGGCAACCGTCCGGTCTGGGGTTGGGCTGGCCCTGGCCTAGCCCTAGTCCTCGTCTGGCCTGGCCGAGCCAGGCAAAAACAAATGAAGATGAAAAAAAAAAAATATAGAGGAAAGAGGGCCTGGGGAGGCCTAACCGATCCCTTACTAGCCTTAGCCCAAGCCCTACTCTTTTAGAGCGAGTGGCCATATTGTTAAATTATTTGTTTTTGGATTATGACTTGAAATTATGCAGGACATTTGTTGCCCCATTGGAGAGAATAAAGCTAGAGTGCATAGTGCAGGGTTCCAAGTATAGTTGGATAAAAGCGGTGGAGTGTATATGGGTATCAGAGGGCATAGGGGGGTTTTGGAAAGGGAATTTATTGAACCTCTTCCGCATGGTTCCCTTCAAATCCATCAATTTCATTTGCTACGACATCTACTGCGACGCCCTTCGCCAAAAGAAAGATGAACTCACAAACCATGACAGACTCATTGGTGGTGGCATCTCTGGGATCACGGCTACAGTAGTATGCCTGCCCTTGGACACGGTCTCTCTCTCTCTCTCTCCACTTTCTCAATCTCTCTCTTACAACTATTCCACTTTTCCTATCAAGTTAGTGAGACCAAGCTGTTTGCTTACTCCCTCGGATAAATATACATGGAGATCATTTACTTTTTTTAACACAAGGAAGTCATAATTACTATTGTCTTTTACTTCTCAAATGTAGGGTTGTGAGCATGTAGTTGATTAGAGTCAAAGTTCAAAATATGTTTTTCAAACACGCACCATGCCAGTCAATTTAACATCTGATGGTTGAGAATAATTGTGACTTCCTTGTAAGAATGATAAATGGTCTCATTATAAAAGACAAGCTTTTTATGCTTCCCCTACAATATAAAATTTATATACTTCTCCTTATCCAACCGTCAATTATGAATAGATGGCTAAGATTGTCCCAATCACAATCTTATGTCTCTACACTATTTTATTTTTAATGTTTTTTTATAAAATATTTTGACACCAATTTTTGAGCATTTAATCCTCTATTAAAAATATATAAAAAGATAATCCCAATAAAATAAATGATCAAAATACCCCTGAAATATTTAAAAGGTATTTTAGTCATTATATTTTATGAAAAAAAATAAAATACTCTAAAGCATCATATCTAAGATCAAATCATTAATGACTAACTTGATCAAAATTGAACGGCTGGATAGTTGGAGAAGCACATATCTTATATGTTGTAGGAAAAGTATAGAAATGTTTCCCCATATAAAAATTTTTTAATCCAGGTAAGATATTACTGTTTTCTTTGAAAAACAGGAATTTCGATTTGAGTGCGTATGCTATGCTCTTACAGGAGCGTAATGTACATCTACTCCCTCGGTCTGAAGACCTACTTGAGAACAATATTTCAATTTGCTGGTTTGGCAACCACATAAGAATCACGAGATGATTATTATCAATATCAAAGAATTTGAATTTTGAGTTTTTCTAGCACTTAGATCTTACGTCTCTAAAAATTAGACGGTACTCTATTTATCCTTAAAGCATTATTTTTTGAGTGCACATGAATATAATATATTGTGGGTTTGGATTTTGAGTGCCCAGACCCAGCATAGTTGGACAATCTTTGTTTAACATTAATATGTTATTTTCTTGAGCCACATTTGAATTATTATTACTATTTTTCCTTTTTACCCCAAAGTATGGGGCCTAAAATTAGTCCTTCATTGGATTTTAGTTCAAGGAGCAAATGAAAGAAATGATCTGGTGAGAACATAAAATCTTTTCATATTTTCTGTGAAACTTTAACACAATCAATGTTACGGAAACGGAAACGGAATTTCGTCATAAGCTACATCACTAGTCATAAGGTACATCACTTCATTGTCATCATCGAAGGATGGAGTTTCTATAAGGCAGCCGACTGATAGTTACATATGCACCCCCTTCTTAAAGGTGTGCGGTTTGTCATAGAGCCTAGGCTCCAAACAATCACATTAGAGCCTACCTTCAAATAATGTCGAGAAATGTGGTTTCAATATTGGAAGTCTTTGTGATAGCCTTAAAATATATTTTCACATTTATTTATAAAGTTTAAACTTTAAAAAATAGTGTAGATCAACATACCTATGAAAACTTGCAAATCTTGAAAATTGACGGTCCAAAACTACGTTACAAAATATACTATTTCCAAAACTTGCAATCCATTTTTTTTCTCATGTCCATGCATCTTGATGTCGAGATGATCAATTTGAAGATATTTAGGCATCAAAACAGTGAAATTTTTAAAGTAAGCTCAAATTTGATTGTTCAGAGCCTCCGTTCTATATAAACTTTTCCCAAAAAAAAAAAACATAATTTTACAACTAAGATTATTTTATTGGGATCTTTTGTGTACGGCCAATATGTGATTTTTGTCCAATGCATTTTAGACAGCTTCCATCTTTTGTGGGTCAGCGTGCTCTTGCCTCCTTTTCCTCACATAAACCTTTTCCATCATTAAATAATGAAAAAAGTTTATATAAAGACGCAATTTTATAATGTAGAACTATGGATGCACCTCAAAAATCCATCGGAAAAAGTAGTTTTAATGTTGAAAAACCCATTGATTGATCATCTCAACATCAAGATGTTTGACCATGAAAAATAAAAAGATTTTGTCTCAAAAATAGTGCATTTTACAACATATTATGTACACCGTCCATTTTTAAGGTGTTCATATGTTTATAGATCTACTTGATTTTTACCATTTTTAAAATTTAAAATTTTATAATTAGATATAAAAATAGATTTTGAGATAATCCTAAGAACATTTTACATCAAAATTACATATCCTCATAAAATTTGACATAACACTAATAAAACAAGAAATGAATTAATGAAATAATGTTGGTGGCATTCAATATTCATCCTCGTCCCCCCCACGGAATAAAAGGTGATGACCATATGAAGATCATTTAGATAATTATTTTCTTTTTTTGTACTTTATTGATGTATTATTTTTCTCGTAAGACGAAAAAGAAAATTATTTATAATCAAAATCTTTTTCTAGCTAATTAGGATCGGCTACGACGTAAAAAAAATAAATAAAAATTATCGGCATGGTAGCTATTGAGCAAGCTGAACATGTAGGGGCAGTGAAAAATTGTAGTCAGGCTTTAAATTATGAAATTAATTGTGCGTGTCTGTCATTAAGAACAAATATCCAGCAACAGATACAGCATAAAGTGGCAATAGAAGTGTCACATTGGGGTTAAAAAAGAAAAGGGGTATATACAATAAAGTCTTTATTTTAGGTAAAAGGAGATCATAATTATTATTGATAGTGAGATGTGAAATCGAGTGGTTGGGGATGTGTCTTGATTGGGTACAAAGTTTAAAATAAATTATTTTGAATTTTATGACGCACTTCAATTTGTTGGATTTTTGACCCAAAAAGGTCACAATCATTTTCAGCTATTAGATGTAAAATTCGACAAATTGAATTGTGTTATAAAATTTACTCCTTCGTACCATAAATTTACTCCCTCGTCCAAAACTAAGTTTTTTGCATGAGGGACTAAATGTCCAGCATCATCCCATGGAAGCATAATATACGAATTCTTTTTAAAGTGCTTTTGCGGGACTCTTTGCTTCCTAACGTAGGGGCGGCAGTGTACCCTGACTCGAGGGGTAGACCCAATCCAGATATGGGTCTAGGTATGGGTCAAAAAATTGGACTTGAAAGGTCGGTTTTGGGTTCAAATTTTGGATCCGAATACTATTTGAGTTCGGGTCCAGTTTCAATCGGATCTGGGACCCAACCCGATCCGTTGCCACCTATTTTAAGTTTAATGCCCCTAAGAAATTTGCAAATTCCCTGCTACCTCATTATGTAAAGAGATAGTGTCCCCTATCGATCTAACGTCCATCTATAAGATGGATGTTGAAAAATAGTTGTCCCATGTAAGTTTTAAAATTAATGACGTCAGAAATATATAAAAAAATTTCAACTTTTATATATTTTATTTAGGGTGTAATTTTTATAAAGCTGAAGCTCTTAACAATCAAAATAAATTGCACCTTCAAATAGTGTCGAGAAATGTGGTTTAAATACTGAAAATCTTGGTGATAACCTTAATATATATTTTCATTTACAATTATAAAATTTGAAGCTTCAAAAATAGAATAGATCGAGCATATCTATAAAAACATAAAAATCTTGAAAATTTACAGTAAAAAAATACATTACAAGATGCACTATTTTCAAAACTTGAAATCCATTTTTTTTTCAAGTTCATGCATCTTGAGGTTGAGATGATCAATTTGAGGATATTTGAACATCAAAACAACTCATCTAATAAAAGTTTTGAGGTGTGTCCTAATTTGATTGTTTAGAGCCTCGCACTTGTATAAACCTTTTCATTTAAATTTAAAACTTTTTTTTTTTTGAAATTTATAATCATTATGGTTGAGATTTTCATTACCCTAAAATTTTGAATTCAAAATCTATCTTTAATGTATATCTTGGAGAAAGACCGTATTTAAATAAATGAGTCGGCCAACTAATAAAAAACCTTGTACTCATGCAAATGGGGGAGAACAATAACATTGAAAAGAACATGTTACAGATCCGAACCAGGCTCTTGGCTCCAGGAGGTGACACATTAGGTGGGGTTACAGGTTGTATCTCTAACATGGTCCGCAATGAAGGCTTCTTCTCTCTCTACAAGGGTCTCACACCAGCTCTTCTCAGTATGGGCCCTGCTAGTGCTGTCTTCTATGCAGTTTATGACATTCTCAAGTCCTCCTACCTTCGTTCTAAGGCTAAGGCTGGTAACAGTGAGAGTGAGGCGTGTGAAACCGAATTGGGACCTGTGAGGACTCTGATCTATGGAGCGGTGGCAGGTGCATTTGCAGAGACGGTTACGTACCCGCTAGAGGTGGTGCGGCGGCAGCTCCAACTACAGCGTGCTGCTAAGGTTGGCTTGTTCTCGGCCTTTGCCTGCATGATACAGAGGGACGGGCTCAATTCCCTCTTTGCGGGTTTGATGCCGAGCACGCTACAGGTTTGTTGCTGAACATATCTCTCTCTATTTTTATGCATATTTTTTTTATGGGAAATTTTAAAATGATAAATAGTGCATCTCTCATGGGTGATTGAATAAATTGGAGGATCTCATGTTTTCCACTCTATGTCTATTACCGTCTATCATGTGAATGGAAGGTGATAACCCTCCAGTCCAGGACGTGGTTGAAAGTAGTCCAAAAAGATATAGGGACTTCTAACCTGACTAAGGGTTTTTTTGAGCAGAATGACGGATTAGGATTCGTGTAGCCGATCCAAATTAATTAAAAAAAGGCTATGATGATGATGATAGTGATGATGTCAATAGAAGGTGATAACCCTGAATAGTACTATAGTCAAGAGGATCATATCATGCTTTCCCTTGTATGAATGTTTATTTATTTTTTGATAAAAAAATAGAGTGCCAGAAAATTACCTCAATTAGACTTGTTGGAATATTTATTTATGTGTCTCGCTTTCCCCTTATTTTCGTGGTCATTGGGCAAAATAATAAGTTTAATCCAAGTCTAGGGGTTACTCTTCCCTCATCTAACTTGATAATGCGAAATGCCCTTTTAGTGTAAATCACAACATTTTCAGCCTAATATTTTACCCAATACTGTTGTCTTTCCATTACAAACAAGTATACGAGTTTTCTTATTTTAGGTCATTTATTTATTTCAATCCCATTGATGTATTTGAATCGTTTTTTGAACCATCTATAATTGGCCATTGTCTATTTTGTATTTATTTATTTTTCAAAATTTAAACAAAAAAATAATTGGTCTACAAATTTGCATCATGTGCCCTTCAATTTCTCAAATTGACCCCTTGTAAAATGGACACGGTTTTATGAGGGAAAATTGCTTCATGCGGGCTGGACTGCATATCTACATATGCGGTCCAAAACTATAAAGCATGTATCTTAAAGATGGATGCAAATATGTGGTCCATCTAAAAACAATTGAAACTAATGATCCAAATATTTTTTTAATAAAATTATTATTTTTAGTTTTAAAAATTTATTTATTTTTTCATATTCATGATCTCAATGTTAAAGATTACATATCCTCTAAAATTAAGTTAAAAAATCCATCTTAAAAATAGATTTATTACTAGGCCTGCATTTCTACATGTGCGGGCTTGGCCCGCATGCTAACCGTGTCCTTTTATGAGTCCCAGGAAGCATATGTAGAAATGCAGGCTCCATTAAGAATTCATTTTTGAAATAAAAATCACCTTAGAACAACCAATGTCAAGGATACATGGTTGGGTGTTCAGTGTCTAAAACACATTTGAAGGTTTGGGCCATAAAAGTTTTTGATAGAAATTTAGATTTTTGACAGTTTTTGAGTAAAGGACCGAAGCCTCATGACTCTGTTACTGTTATTAACATCTGATGGTTGAGGGATGTGTCTCTATTCATTCAAGATATAAAAAGTTGTCGTAGTATATGTTCCCTAGTCCGGGGAAGTAATTTCCGATCATTGGAGCAAATTTTTAGAGTGCTAAAAGTAAAACCATTGGTGTATATTCTCAATTGAATGTTTGATACATTCCATTTGAGCAGAAGAATCAAGCAAAAGAGGGTTCAGAACTTCACATCAGTCATCTTCTGTACGCAACAGATTGTTGGTAGTATGTGTTAGAGGCATCATAGCATGTGAACATACTTCAGAAGATAATAATATTTGCTATGAATTTGCTACAAGTATCATATTATAGACACGCTCACTCGCAATTTTTGAAGCTTCACTAGAAAAAAATATTTTTCTGCAAGCAGAACAAAGAAGCCTTTTTGTGAAAAATATGAAAGTTGATGAACATAGTTCAAGAGACTGTAAATATCAAATACCCTGCAGACATGCATACCCTGATAAAGAGCACATAATCTATGTAACACACATGGGCCGTGAACTATTAGACCTATTTATATTTCTTAAAATCCCCATATCATGACACCATAATATTTCTAGTGGGATCATTGTCATTCTTATTAGAAATTGTGAAATTATCCCATAAAGCAATGGTTGATTTTGAACGCATAGTTTGCTAGGCACTGATTTTGAGTGTATCTTTTGCCTTATGTTATTGCTGTCATTTTCGGGTGGCAAGCATTCCGTCTTCGCTCTTGCAAGTTGCCATTGAAGGCAACAAGCATTCCGTCATCGCTCTTGCAAGTTGCCATCGAAGGCAAGAGAATTGTTGCTTCAAGCAGTATATCTTTACATGGTGAACACGCTTATATATGCATTTAAAAGATTTTAGGTGCTCATGTTGTTATTTATTAATTAATACATTTAGAATGCTAGTGATTATCATGGAATATGAATACAATTGCAACATGTTTGTATGTGTCGTTGTGAATAACGTCTTGGGCTGCCTGTTGGCGTTATTAACTTATTGACTGATAATCTTATGTATATGGTACAGGTCTTGCCATCTGCTTCTCTGAGCTATTTATTCTATGAACTGATGAAGTCCCTTCTGAAAATAAACTAACTTATATTGGGAGTTTTTCACTGGATTATTTCCGAATGTACCGTAGTTTTGTCTCAATTTCTTTTTGTACGGCATCAATATAAGCCTATGAATGAATGGGCTGAATTCGGTTTCTATGTAACTTGACTTAAACATGCTAAGGAAAATAGATGCTTTTGGCACTAGGAGTTGTAATGATACAAAACAGGCCTTGAATTACACATCAATTCCCAAAAATTTAAAACAGGAAAATAAAAAAAGAGACAATACATGCTTTATGATCTATTTTTATTGTAGATAATGTATTTAACATTTCTTCGGAATTTGACATGGTTACTAACTTTCAATTATCTGTCAACAAGTCGAAATGTATGAAATGTTCTTAGGGGACAGAAGAATCCTTTGAAATTTATCGTACTAATAACCCATTTTAGGCAGGTAGGAAGTCTGATGAAGCTCCATTACTTGATTACAACTCAAAAGCAGTTGACAACCATTATCTGGTTGATTATTTGAAATTGTTTTAGTTAACACACATGAAGGTAAAATTTAACTGAATGGCAAGTGTGGTGCTGCAGAGAAATATCATATTTAGTACAATGTACACCTCAAAGACTCAAAAAAGGAACATTAACAGGCGATATGAAGGCCTCACTTACCCAGTAGTCATATCAAAGAAATATTCCTGCTTATATCTATTGGGAATCTTCCAAATCAAAATTTAGTTTTTGGGAACAGCAAAAAAATAGGTTTCTTGTTAGTTTTATAGGAGTTATTGTCAATGAGTGGGATACTAAAATGTACTACCTTATGACCAGTGGTCGACAGGCTGGGTTATTTACACTCTAAATGGGTGGGCAGAGACTAAAAGAAGTGTTATCCAATGCTTTTGTAAGTCCAAACAGAAGTTAAAAATTAGCATTCTATTAAACCTAAATGATCAAATATTGAAATATATTCATGTAGTAAATGTCTTATGTTGCAACCTCAAATGAAATCTTCAATCACCAAATCATCAATATAAAGGGTCTTCACAATGTTAAACATTTTACTTCATACCCCATATGGGCGCAGCAATGCATTGGAACTTTGAATCTTTCACCCCATGTATGTGCACGAGTTAATTGTAAATAAAAAATGGGAAAGTGTTCAGAGATTAGTGTTCCAGAGCAATTTTACATTGGCACTCTTGAAAACAGCATAAAACTAATATCCTTGAACAGATTAGCATGTTCTATAATTGCTTAATGTTAGTCCTCAACCAGATAGGCTTTATGTTCTTGGCAAATGCAATGATGTTAATATTCTTTAGGGTATTGGCCCGATGGGTGTGTAACTAGGTGTCATAGCCAAGATGCATGATTAACTACAACCTTTTCTGATTTACAAATAGTGTAGAATTGTAAGGAACAAGATATGCCTTGAAAATTTTGAGAGTTATACAGCAAGGAAATTTTTTTTGTACAAATAATTATTAAACACAAAGGGTCTATTTGGATGACAATTAATACTATTAGAAGTAAATTGCTTTATTAATATACTGATTTGTTAGTTGTTGGTCTTGTACAAGATCTATGAAATTGCATTTGTGCATTGTTTCATATGTTGATTGGTTTGAGGATCTTAGGGAGTGAGATAGGTGGTTTAACTATTTTCTTTGAAGGATTTGTCCAAAACACAATCTGCATCTCCAATCTTTTCTTGGTGACTGTTCTAGCGACCTTCCTGCTATTTCCAGAGATTTAAAAACAATAAAAGTCCTTAAAAAGCATTCATCAATTTCCATTGGGGAGAAAAAAAAAACATTTTGATATCCCTATAGAGAAAAAAACTCGAAAATTACCATTGATGTAGCTTGAAAGATCACCAGTGAAACCTTAGATTTCCTTGACTTGAGTCTCATTAAACTCCAATTTCCAATGTTTTTTTTTCTTTGGGTAGATCAATGGGAATATAAGCCCCTATCCGTTTTTAGAAATAATCAGTGGTTTTCAAAATACAAAGTAGGAATGGAAACCTAAACCGGTAAATTCATAGCACAAAAAGGCAATTGCAAAAACTTGGGCAACATATTATCTGTACAATATGCTTTGGTTACTGGGGTTCGAGCAGCAAATCAACCCTAATCTCACGTACATTTGATTGAAACTCTTTGCCACTAAATTAGCTGTGTCTAGCTCTCAAAGTTCAATTTTCTTTTAGGCACCTATTTACATTCTATAAGTTTCCTGTACTCTAGTGTAAAGACTAGGTGCTTGTTTTTCTTCATAGGTTTTAACTATTCATCCATGACCATTAACCAAACGTCTTTCTCCTTCTCCAAGGCGTCTTGGTAGTGTTGTGCGCGGGAGCTCTAAATTTGATGGGTTGATTTTGGTAAATAAAGTATGAGAAATAAAACATGAAACACGTACACAAGAACGATTTTTGGTAAATAAAGTATGAGAAATAAAACATGAAACACATACACAAGAGCATAAATATTTACGTAGTTCACCCAAAAAGGCTACATCCACGGGCATGGCAACCTGAAATCTACTATACCAATGAAAGTTACATCAAATATTTTGGAACAAACCTCGACAAAAACACAGTTGACCAAACCCTTTTAAACCTCTCTCCATTCTCTTTACTTCTGGCAATTATTACTGACAACACCAAATAGAGACGTGAGAGCAACGAGAAACGGACTTTCCCTCTAACTAAAAGGGAATCCACCCAAAATCTCCATGGGAACTGCTTGTCTCCAAGAAACAAGCCTTTCAATCTTTGAAAGTCTAAAAGAAGCATCACCAGAATGTTTCTTTCTCCATAAGAAACTATCTTCTCTTTAAGAGGAAACCTTGCATCTTATATATAGGAGGTCATGCCTCCTCTCTCTATAGAGGAACCGTCGTTCCCATATGGGGCACACAAATTCTCTGCACTTTCATCCCATATATATAAGATTAAGAATCCACACTAAATAAGAAACTTCATGTAGATATTATATATATCTCAAAAACCAAGAGATATATCTAAGAGTTGTAATATTTTATATTTATATTCCTTTAGGAAGATTATCAATATCAATCTCAATATCACATAATATGGATCAATCTCAATCCCAAATAATATGGGATTTTCTTATGTGGGTGATTTTGGATAGCACCAAATCCAACAAGCTCCACCTTAATTTCAAAATCACCTGCTTATCATGCCAACATCCATTGAATAACTTCACAAATTATCCATCTTTTATGAAATAAATTTTTTATCATTCTTGTTGAAAAATAGTGTTTGACATCAAATTTATTGACTTCGAACTTTGCATTCGAAACCTTTACCTCCATACCTCAAACCTCAAACCAGGGCTTTGATACCATTTGTTATGCACAGAAGCTTTAAACCTGGCAGCTTGACATTTTGGGAAATAAAGTACGAGAAATAAAGCTTGAAACATATACATAAGAACACAAATATTTACGTTCACCCCAGAAGGGCTACATCTACGGACATGACAAACTGAAATCTACTGTACCAATGAAAGTTACATTAAAGATTTTGGAACAAGGGTTACTTCTCTAAACCTCGACAACCCAAGTCGAGCAAATTCTTTTAAACAACTTTCCCTTCATTCTATTTACTTCTAGCAACTATTGTCAGCAACACCAGATAGAGACACGAGAGCAATGAGGAACTAAATTTATCTCCAACTAAAAAGGGATACAATCCAAAATCTCCATGGGAACCACTTTTCTATCAGATAGAGACGTGAAAGCAATGAGAAACTGAATTTCTCTTTAACTAAAAAGGAAAACAACCCAAAATCTATATGAGAACCACTTCTCTATAAGAAACAAGCTTCTCAATCTGGAGGAGTCTACATGAAGCACAATCACAATGTTTCTCTCCATAGAAAGCTATTTTATCTCTAAGAGGAAACTTTGCATCTTATGCACATGAGGCCTTGCTGCCCTTTATCTTTAAAAGAACCACCATTCCCATGTGGTTACCTAAATAGGGCTCACAAATTCTTTGCACTTTCATCCCATATATATAAGAATAAGAATCCATACTAAGTAGGAGCTTCCTATTGATGTTACATATATCTTAAAAGACCAAGAGATATATTCAAGAGTCTTAATTCTGTTTTGGATTTATATTTCATTTAGCAAACTTATCAAATATCAATATCAATATCATATAATAAGGAAATATCTTAATCCCACATAATATGAGATTTCTTTATGTAGGTGCTTTTGGGTAGCACTGAATCCATTAGGTAGTTCATCATCAGATTGGTTTGTTTCCCTTTCACGGTGTTCTCCTAGGATGCTAAAGTATTAAGGTGGGAGCCTAATCCTTTTCATTTCTAAGAGGTTGCTATGATGATTCCCAAGTTGCATGCTAGATGGCTTAAAAATCAATTTTCATCTCTAATCGTAAAATTTTGAGCTCCAAAAATAGTTCAGATCAAGCAAATCTATAACCATTTCAAAATTTTGAAAATGGTGGTTTAGATAATGTGGTTACAATATGCATTATTTTTGGGATTTCAATTCCTTTTCTTTTTTTTTTTTCCATATCAATACATCTATAGGCCGAGATGATGAATTTGAGGGTTTTCCAATAACGAAACGGCCTTTTTCTATGGATTTCTGAAGTGCAACTTACTTTTGCAATATATAAACGTTTTCCTTTAATTAATGGAAAAATTTTATATAAGATTGCAACTTTATACTATAGAAGTAAGCTGCATTTCAAAATTCTAGTAGAAAAGAGTGTTCCAAATTTAAAAAATCTTCCAATTGATCATCTTGACCTCGAGATGTATCGGTATAAAAGAAAAGAAGAATTTCAAGTCTTAAAGATATTACATCTTGTAAAAAGTTATTTGGACTGTTTATTTTTATGATTTTTAAGTGCTTATATATCTACTTGATCTGCAGCCTTTTAGGAGTTTTTTAATTTCATGATGTAGAGGAAAAAACCAAGGTTTGGGAAAAATAATGAGAAGAAAAATAGTGCAGAAAAAAAAGTTTTAAAAACCAATCTCTCTTTCTTTCTAAGAAATATGCTTACTACCAAGAAAAGTTTGAAGAGTGAGAAAAATAAAAGGTAGAAAGTAAATTTTTTTTTAAAAAAAATATGTTTCTCAACGACTTGGACCCAGCCTAGGGCAATAAAGCCTTAACGAGCCACTAATGGGCTTCGGGCTTGAGAGCGCTACAATAGTA